CCCCAAAACCCCAAAACCCCAAAACCCCAAAACCCCAGAGGGATGTTTTTATATTGAAATTATAGTTTATCTTAAAAATCACGGACTGAATACTGAAGTTTGATTCCCATTGAGGCTAATTCGTTTGTCATATATCTCAAAACAAATGGCATTGCTACTTTCTTTCAATTTCCTTCTTTGTTACAAACCTTGCAAATAGCTTTCTCGTTCATATGGATGTCATCTTCATCATCTTGGACTCCTTCACCCTCATTCTCGTCAAGTCCTAAAGGCATAAAGGATTTATTCTTCATAATAGCTCTGTTTACATATCAAGAAAGGACGCTTCCACATTTCTGGCATACAAATCCTTCGCTATAATCCGAACTTCTGAAGAGTCTATCATTAAGACAGTAGGAAGCTCCATGTGCTAGCATGGAGTCACGCTCCATTTCTCCGAATCTGATTCCTCCTCCCTTCTTTCTTCCTTTAACTGGCTGATGAGTGAGAACATCATTTGCTCCTGTAGATCTTGCTTGACTCTTGTCACTGACCATGTGTCTTAATCTCTGATAGTAAACAACTCCAATGAAAATATCGACTTTGAGGGGTGTTCCATAGATTCCGCTATACATCACCTCATTTCCATAGTAATTGTAGCCATTCTTGAGCAATTCTTTTCCAAAATGATCAACGATGTCGTCTCCTTCATACTTTTGGAAAGTTTCAACTGTCTTGAATTCACCTCTGAGAGATCCGCTTTTAGCAGCCATACTCTCAATGAGCATTCCCATAGTCATTCTTGAAGGGAAAGCATGAGGGTTGATGATCAAATCTGGGGTTATTCCACTCTCAGTAAATGGCATGTCAATTTGTGGCCAAAGGACAGAAAGAACTCCTTTCTGACCATGTCTTGAGCTAAATTTATCCCCAATAACTGGATTTCTGGAGTATCTGATAGTGGTATTAACAGTAATATTATCTGGATTAGAGTTATCATTTCCACATAATCTAACAGTCTCAATTCTGGCTTTTTCAGTATCTTTATATTTAGCAGTCTTAGTTTTTCTCTTAAGAGTATCAAACACGACTCTTTCAGGGTCTCCCTTGGACATGAGTCTTCCAATCTTCGGGAGTCCGTCCTTATCAACTGTTTCAAGGTCTCTCTGAGCTTTCTTGCTGGCTTTGGAGTTTCTGAGCAACTTATACTTAGGGCCTGACTTAACCCCTCCAGTAGACTGATTCATGCTCTCATTTATCTGGTGTGAATAACTTTTGTAAACGCTTCCATGCCCAAATCCTCTTTCATAGGAGGATTTGTTGATGATCATGGCATCTTCAATATCGTACCCTGTGTAAGAAAGGACAGCTACAACTGCGTTAGTCCCGCTTGGATATTCCTCAATGTCAAAATCAGTCTGAGTCCTTGTCTTAACAATAGGTCTCTGGGGAAACAGGATCTTGTAAACCTTGTTATCAGTACGATACTGATGATTGTGATATGGAGTTCCCATAGTTTGCTTTGCCATCTGGCATTGGTACATGTTTCTTGGAGATTGATTATACTCAGCAAAAACTCCTACAGACGCAATTATGGATAGAATGTTGATAGGGTCAAGCTCTTGGTGGGTAGTCTCTGGGACAATATCGTCTTCTAGGCACGCAATATTGAGATTCATTTGTTCTAACGGACTAATCCATTCAATACAATTGAATTCAATATTCTTCACTGGTCTAGTAAACCTTGCAGGTGTGGTATGAAGAAAGATTCCTGGCCATTGGAGGTTCCTCTCATATCCTGAGAAGGAAAGGAAAGCTATTTCAAGAGTTCTTGGGATGTTATATTCAGGCTTGCTTTGAGTACATTTCAAGAATCTTAATGATCTTACAAAGGATTCTCCTGTTTCTTTAGAGACATATCCCAGAACAATTCCATCAAACATGACTGGGTAATATGTTGATTTATAATTCAAGCAAAGATCACTTGTAATTGAGAGCATTCCTAACTCACTAAGAACACTCTTTAGATTATTCATATCTATTTCTGTTTCTTCAGATCCAAGTGGAACTCAGGACATTGATATATGATTTAGAAGACCACAAGGAGCTCCATCTGGAGTATGCACTGGGCAGAGATACCCCCATGATTCTGGTAAAAGCTTTCTCACACTTGTTGTTTTCTGCTCAGCAAAGTATTGTCCTCTATGAATTGATCTGAAGTGGGAAAGATATCTGATGTTATTGAGCTTGTCAGCAATAATACAGAATCCACTTGTCTGCATCAGATCTAAGTTTGTCCTAGAGATCAGGTTTCCTGTTGCGAGGAAGTTCTCCATTCTCTTTCCAATTGCTCCTGAAGCTTCAATTAGTCTAGTTGTTGTGTTGATATCTCTGAATTTCTGGGCATCAAAAGTGTCCTTCTTAATTTCTTTATTGATTCTTGCTCTTAAGTTGATATGAAGAGCATCAAATAGATTCTCAGCAAGAATTTGCTGATAGATATGCCCTCCAAGTAAAGTGTCATGATGAGCTACAGAATCAAGATTATCTAACTCAGTTTCATCGGAAACAGCAGAGTAAAGCTTATTGATCATCAATAGGAGGGTGTTAAATTTTGATTCGTAACTGCTTGTGTGAATGCAGATATATTTAGTTAAGAATAAATCTCCAACTTCAATGTCACTCATTTCTTCATTAACACCAGCGAGAACGACTCTGAAGCGTGATCCAATTAAAGCCTTGCTTTGGTTTGAATCATAGAGGTTGAGGTTCTTTCCTTGTGCAAGGATGGCTTCTACTCTGTCGCTGATTTGCTTCTGTTTGAAATTTCCTTTAACAATTTGCTCATAGATTTCTCTATCTGTACAGTTCTTTAGCCCCTTTAGTAAAATAATGATAGGAACTAGGAATTCTTGTTTCTGATATAGGAACCTGAGTGAGATTGAACCATCAGAGAGATAATGCAGGGTAATAGTCTGGGCAGTAAGATCATCTCTGACACATCTCATTTGGCAAGCATATGAGGTAAAATCTTTTCCCCTAGTCACAAACTTTGACCTTGTGAAAACAACAGGATAGTTTCTTTTGGGAACAATAAGCATTCTAATTACTTTTTCGTTTCCATTGATCAAGAACTGTCCTCCAAACTCTGCCATATCTTCACCTTTCTGAACTAGTTGTTTTTCGTTGAATCCATGAAGGTTGCAGAATTTACTTCCAATCATGACAGGGATTTCTCCAAGCTTAATCTTAATTCTATCGTTCATTTCATCATCGAATTTTCTTGAAATATTTGCGAAAAGAGGAGCTGCATAGGTAATCCCTCTCTGCCTGCACTCAGATGGGTAGATCTCAGGGTTTTCCATCTGAATATCTGAATGAGTTGGCTTTCCAATAGTGAAAGACTCATACCAGAGTGTTAGTTTCTTAAACCCAACCTTCTCATACTCTTGAGGCACAATGTACTCAAATGGAAGCATATATTTTCAGGCACGCTCAAGACAGGTCCCCAATGCAAAATCAAAAGCATCTATATGATGCTTTGCGATATTCTTATGCACTTTGCTAATCTCTTTCTTATCAAACTTGAATTTCTCCTGCAAGTTATCTGAATGATTAACATGCTCATTCTTCAAGTTTTCTTCTTCAGAATTGACCTATACAAGATGAGACATGACTGCTATAACACCCAAAGGGATGGGATAGATCCCTATGAAGCCTGAAAGGCACTTTACCTTCTTATTCCAGTATTGTGTGAGATCGTCTAAAATAGTACTTTCCATCTTCAAACACTATATTTATAAACACGGCCAGTTTTAATTTTAAGTGGGGTTTTGGGGTTTTGGGGTTTTGGGGTTTTGGGG